ACACTCTCCTCCGGGCATTTTGTGGGGACGTAGAATGAGTTGATGTGAACATAAAAGTCCTATATCGTTTTGCGATATTCGCAATAATTATCGAGATATTAATTGTAGAAAATTTGTGAATGATCATGTAGGATATGGTAAATGAGTTATAATAGCGATGACTGCCGTCGTGTACTTATACTTTAGGTCAAATTAAATAAAAAAGTCCTTTATCATTTTGCAAATAATCACATAGATTTTTAATTATTAATTAAAGAAGATGAGTGCATTATCACGCAAAATCGTGCAATAATCTTCTTTAATTAATAATTAAAAATTTATGTAATTATTTGGAAAATGGTAGAAGACTTTTTTGTTCAATTTGACCTAAAGTATAAGTACACGATGGCAGTCGTCGCTATTATAACTCAGTTACTTTATTTTGCATGATCATTTACAAATTTTCTACAATTAATATCTTGATAATTATTGCGAATATCGCAAAACGGTATAGGACTTTTATGTTTACTTATTCTATATCCCCACAAAATGCCCGGAGGAGAGTGTGAGACACCCTGTATATATAACATATATAATAATATATATATAAAAATTATATATATATATATATATATAGATATTTTATGTTAAAAATTTAAATATTCGTATTTAAAAGCCAAAATATAAGAATGTCCAGAATTACATATATCCTGGATGTACTGGATTACATATGTGTCCATACATACTTTTACATAATCTTACTTTTGCATATACTTTTGCATACTCTTACCCAAGTATCTTTATCTTAATAATATTTAACATATTGACAATGAAGTCAAAATAAAGGTGCAGGTTCATCCGAAAACGCGAATAAAGGAAATACACATACGTATGAGTTCAGGTATATGACAGTCGAATTCACGCAGTTTTTTTGTATCCTTTTTTGTTCCGTTTTTATGCGTTCTTTTGTATCCGTTTTTACATAGGGCTGCAACTTTATTTTAATACCACCGTAACTAAATTGAAAAAATAATAAAATAAAAAAAACTTTAAGTAAGAAAAACGCAAGAAGGAAATGCAATAAGCATAAGAATAGAGATACAATTTTGTTGAACTTTAGAAAACTTTCTTTTCTTCTCTAATTGCTAAAATTATTACGAGTGATAAAAAAAGTAATTTATGTGTTTTAGAAAGTGTCTTTCTATTTTACCTGTAAACGTTTATTGTCACGCTCCAAAGCATCCTTGTTTCTCAATTCTAACGCCAGCATTTGCTTTGTGCTTTGTAAATCATCCCTTACTGCGTCTATATCGTCCATCTCATCCTGGATTTCATCTTCTACGGGCGTCTCTTCCGCCTTTTGTATTTGTTCCTCTATAGTCAACTGTCGTCGAAATTTCCGAAGACCTTCCAATACTGGCTTTGAACGATCATTTGTCTTGACACTTTTAAGCCTCACTCCTTGCTGAATCTGCTTCAGCAGTTGATTGTGCATATTTGACTTTTCAGACTCGAACACGAAGTGGGCCTTACCTAATGAGGGAGACAATTAATCAGGACAAAAACTTACGCGTGCGTCGTTCTTTGAAATGATTAAAACGCTGTTATGCGTTTAAAGTCATATATCATAGACAGTTGTCATGACTGGGCGTTCAACTTAAATTTTCAGTGGCCGCGATGTGTAACGTTATTGATTAATAAGCGGCAAAAATACTGTGATAGATTTGGCTTGGATCCACTCGGCATCGTATGCAATTTGAAGTTTGTATTTCACAAAATTGGAAATCCTATCGATTGATTCTCGACATTTCACATGGACACGCGTATTCTTAATAAGCGCAACGAATCGCGACGAAGCGCGATCAATCATTCACATATGAATAAAACGTTCTTCGTTTCTTATCGGACATGTCGAGATATGTTCAAGAAGAGAGATATTAACCGCGAAATTGGTATTCACAATAAAGGAAACAAGGGAGGGCGGGATAACCTATTGAGAAACACGAAGACACCAGTTAATTTGACGGTAATCAATTAACAGTTTAATTAGTCCAACAGTTTAACAATGGATAAACGGGCTTGCTTATCGGGGGCGCGGGAGATGTTGATTTGGGCCAGGGTAAGCTAGCGGCGAAACTGCTGGTTATTTACGCTACAAACGAGAGACACGCGATTAGGGACGTGTGTTTTAATTGAAATTCTCACTCTCGTGTCGATCTAATTGATTGCGCTACATTACTATTATTATCACAAAAAATTCGCGACGAGGAGAAACTCGGAAAAGTTTCAAAAAAAGCGCAGTTTTCCCCTAAAACATATAATTCTAAAAAAAATTTTGATCGGTAATTGTTGTTTACAGAAGAGGGAGATTAGGCTTGCGCAGGACTCGATGCCGAAGCTCCTCGTCAAAGTCGAAGAAAGTGCGACGATCACCTGCTGGGTCAGCTGTGACTTTGTTCACTCTTTCAATCAGAGGTGCGCTTCTGTCATTGCACTTCACATGCCTCAAAGTCTTGCCGCTTTCCACTTCCTTCATCATACTGGCCCAATCAGGACGCTTCCTGGGCCTGGACTTCAAAATATCCAGCTTTTGCATTTGATTATCGTTGAGTAGTGGGAGCTCCTTAAGGATTGTCCTGGCAGGTGGTGGTGGTGGTGGTCGTGGTGGGGGAGGCGGTGGTATGTTCGCTCTTGAGGAGCTCTTCGATAATGTCGGGGCACCTTAACAGAAGTTAGTTGTGTTTAGAACTCGAAGATAGACGTTAAATATTTAGTTGTACGTGAAACCATTGGCAAGTCCAGTTAAGTCCAGTTAAAAATTGTGAAGTCCGTCAATGTGGATAAGTATTAATCATAGCTGTTTTATTAAAAATCGTTTAACTCAATGAATAGAACAAATAATTTTATTTTGTCTTGACTTATTGTCGCGACGATTATTTATACTTAACGCGCCACATGAGCCATCATATGCGCGTGATGCGCGCGTAAATAAGTTACACAAAATATATATAAACTAATATTCATAAAATATATATAATTAATATTCTATTTTATTTTATATTTTATATTCTTCTACACTATTAGAAAAGTTCTTAAAAATAATAACATTTTTCTAAGTAGATTCAAAAATTTGATATTAAAATTAATAATAATAAAGATTTTTATAACTTTAGGATTATTAGTTATAAATTAGCTACATGTTTCATATTTTTTATGAAATCTAATATTTTCTATTTTATATTCCACGTTTTCTTATTAAATTCCATATTAAATTATGAAATATTTATAACACGTTATAATATGTTAGAATAATTTTTCTAATATATCATAAATACAAGACTGTTTCGGTCACGTGGTCTGAAAGATTCAGCTTGCAAAGTATCGCGGTTATCGAGATTTCAATGGAGCTATCAGAAGTCTTTATCGGTTCTCCTTTATACTATCGAAGTTGTGCATCGCTATATTATGAAAAATAAATCCTGATTATGATTTTTCATAACTATGTGTTATTAAGTATAATATTGATTTTATTATAACTTTTTTTTTATAACATAGCTATGTAAAAAAACTTCACATCCCAGTTATTACATTTAATACGAATTTTTCTAACAGTGTATATAAATTGAATTAATAAATTGGATATAACAGTAGTACTAGAAGACACGGTATAAGAAGTATTTAGCGAGAAAAAGAAACTTGTACTACTTAACATTTATTCGTTAATTGATTGATTAATTGTGTCACTTATTTGTCAAACCTGAGATTTAGTTTGAAATTAAAATATCAAACACATTATATATATATACACACTATAAAAACTGATGTATTAAATTTAACATCTCATGTCCCAAATCATAAAAATGTGATAAAAAGTAACATATATAATATGTAAAAAATTAACACAAGAATTTAACACTTGAATACTGTCAGGAATCACAATTTATGTTAAATTCTCATGTTAATTTTTTCCATATTATGCATGTTACTTTTTAACACATTTGTTTTGTGTTAAATTTACATATAAATAAGAGTGGAAAATTTGGGACACATGAAATGTGTTAAATTTAACACATCAGTTTTTACAGTGTAGACGAACTCTCTCTTGATATTCAATCATGCAATAAACGAAAAACGCAAACAGCCGTCTCGCGCTTTCTGTGATAGTTCTTCTTTGTCTTTTTAACTCTTAGTGGCTTATGTGAAAAACGGCATCACATGTGACGGTACATGGATCTTTCGATTCCGATTCTTTTATCATATCTTTAAAATTTCGAAAAGTGTAAAAATTCACGGATATACTTTCAAGTTTCTAGAACAAATATCTATACTTCATTGTGCAAAAAACCAAAACGTAATATATCCGGGACACTTCAATGTGCTGAGAAATTTCTATGAATAGAAACCGTCCGGACTCGAATATTCATGTAGGGCCACTAAGGGTTAATGACACCGTTACCAAGTCATTGCTGAAAACAAGTAACTTGTAATAGTGCCGACGCGTTATTTATCTCCTTTAATCCAGTGATTCATATTTATCACACTGATTAATTAGGAGCTGAGGGGTACGCATGTTAACACAGAACGAAAGTATCGAACGTTTAATGTTGCGAGTGGTAATAATTACGGAAGAGGGAGTGGAAAAAACCGTCGTTGCTCCTACCTGTAGTGCTCTCACTCTTGGAGAGTGGTATACTGTCACCACGCGATCGAGATCTCTCGATACGAACTTGCCGTTCGAGCTGTGGCCTCGAATTTGGCTCCTGCCGCCCATTCTCGCGCAACATCGGCCGACCGCTCGGTATCTTCTCATTCTTCGGTGGCGACGGTATTATCGTGATTTTACTTTGTTTACGCGGTTGTCCATCTGAAGAAAGTTTACGCGGTTGTTCATCTGAGGGAGGTTTACGCGGTTGTCCATCTGAGGGAGGTTTACGCGGTTGTCCATCTGAGGGAGGTTTACGCGGTTGTCCATCTGAGGGAGGTTTACGCGGTTGTCCATCTGAGGGAGGTTTACGCGGTTGTCCATCTGAGGGAGGTTTACGCGGTTGTCCATCTGAGGGAGGTTTACGCGGTTGTCCATCTGAGGGAGGTTTACGCGGTTGTCCATCTGAGGGAGGTTTACGCGGTTGTCCATCTGAGGGAGGTTTACGCGGTTGTCCATCTGAGGGAGGTTTACGCGGTTGTCCATCTGAGGGAGGTTTACGCGGTTGTCCATCTGAGGGAGGTTTACGCGGTTGTCCATCTGAGGGAGGTTTACGCGGTTGTCCATCTGAGGGAGGTTTACGCGGTTGTCCATCTGAGGGAGGTTTACGCGGTTGTCCATCTGAGGGAGGTTTACGCGGTTGTCCATCTGAGGGAGGTTTACGCGGTTGTCCATCTGAGGGAGGTTTACGCGGTTGTCCATCTGAGGGAGGTTTACGCGGTTGTCCATCTGAGGGAGGTTTACGCGGTTGTCCATCTGAGGGAGGTTTACGCGGTTGTCCATCTGAGGGAGGTTTACGCGGTTGTTCATCTGAGGGAGGTTTACGCGGTTGTCCATCTGAGGGAGGTTTACGCAGTTGTCCATCTGAGGAAAGTTTACGTGGTTGTCCATCTGAGGAAGGTTTACGCGGTTGTCCTTCAAAGGCAGGTTTACGTGGTTGTGGTTCATCCGAGGAAGGTGCCGCGGACTCTGCGGGTTTTGGCACACTCTGTCAAATGAAATGAAAAATGATCCTCGCTGAGAAAGGCAATTGTTATTGATAACGCAGGAACGTTTATTTCAATATTTTCTTTCTTCAGTCGTTTTAAATAACGTTTCATCTATGAATTATATGTGAAAATATCAAAATACGCATCAATACTTTTGCGGTCTGCGGCCGGCTCAAAGCTATCGCTCTTCTATCTCAATGTATTCAAAGTGTGGTACTTAACTACACATTTTTCGACATTTTCTTGATTGTATAAAAATAAAAAAGAACTGTTCAAATTAAAGCATTTGGACTTTAGTGATGTTTGCGTTTGTTTTTGCGTTATTAAACTGAGCTGCGCAAGCGTTAACAGATTGTAATATTGAAATAATAGCACGACGGTGTTGAGTTATTAGCAGGCTGCAAAGTGTTAATTGATGAATAACTATTGTTTATGAATAACACTTGTTTATTTGTGAGTTTATGCACTTATCTGTCCTGTCTAACGGGAGAATTCTCTCAGTGGAAAACTGACTTTTCCATTGGACAAGACGGATACGTTTCCAAACTTACAAATGAAAGTCTGACAGCTTTTCTAAAAAAATGAGCGTACATCCATTAATTTATTAATTCACCGATGTTCAGCCGTTTTTAACTTCGCTTACGAAAAACGTTTACGAAACGAGTTTATGTTTTTATAAGTACGGCTGTATCCTTTCTCAAAACACCGTTCAGATTTTTATCGTATATTCTCGTGATATAAATTCCGCGCGTGTGTTTTACTTTTCTTTATTTATTTTCCTCTACATACTGCGTCACGAAATATATAGAGAAAAAGCGTCGCGATGTTTAGCACGATAAATAGCCACAAGAAAAAAAAAACAAAAAGAAGGAAGGGACGTCATCTATCTACTTGTCATCGTCTCAATTGTGTGAGATAGAAAGAATAAAAAAGAATAAGAGAGAGACCTAAGGAATGTTTTTGGCAAGATTCAAAAGAAAAATTCGTTCCGCCAGCTTTAAATAATTCGTATTAAATTTCGAACTAAAATGTCATTTTCTTCAATTTCGATCGTTATCGAAAGTTCCATCTTTCGTAACAAAAAAAGCACTGTTGTGAAATTCTTTTTTAACTTTCTAGCATTTAAGGAAGATAAACATAAATTGTGACGGCTGAAAAAAATAGCTCCTTTTAGTTTTTATTAGAAATGTTTAGCTTTTCTTTAGAATCTTTCGTGACGCTCAAAAAGCAGGTAGATAAATGTTTTTACATTGAGTTAGTCATCTTTTGAATTGTTGAAAAATATTTTTCTATTTGATGAAATACATTTTTATTTAGGTATAAAATGTGTCTGTAATAGGTTCTGCACGCTCAATCGGCCTTATACACACACACACACACACACACACACACATATATATATATATATATGTATGTATGTATATGTATACCATAGAGTTGGTTTCTGTCAAATATTTGATCCAAAATTCTTTGAATAGCTGTCTGAGACACACGTGTTGACTTAATAATTATCGCCAAATCGATTAACTATTTTTACATCAATGTTTATTATCTTCAGAAAAATTACATAATGCAGTTCATGGTCGTTTTATTGAAGCGATCGAAGAGCACTTGCCGTACACGTGCTTATCAATTATAATTTCGACTTTTCAATGCGAAGAAAAGTGAGATTCGTCGTACGCGCGCTCACGCCTCTGGGTCACGATTATTTAAAGAACACGCGTTTCTATTTCAAATGGCTTGCCAGCTGCGTCTTCCGCCAGTTTCTTAACGCGATTATACCCTTGATTTCGCCCGAACGTATCTGAAAGTCGTATTTATTATAGATATCATATGCACAAAAACAACTTTATTGAAACATAGAATTTACAACCGTGACTCCGCTGGGGGAGTGAAAAAATGAGAATTTTTTGAAAGATTTAAGGGAGGTAAACACTGATGATCGAAAAAATAGCTCTTTTTAGCGAATTTTTTTGTGACGCCTATAAAGCAAGTAAGTAATAACGCCTATAAAGCAAGTAAGTAAATAAGTGTTTTTGCATTAAATTAGTCATCTTTTAAACTGTTGAAAAATATTTTTCTATTTGATGAAATACATTTTTATTTTGGTATAAAATGTATATATAGTAAGCTCTGCAAGCTCCATCAGCCCTGCACCTAGAGTCCTCAAAAATCATCTGAAATAAAAAAACCCAAGATTTTTTTAAAATATCTGAATGTAGTTTCAATTAAGCGTACGGATTTTTTTACGATTGAAATTTCCCCCCAAAAAACGATACTTTTTTTTGGACGATTTTCGAACATTTTTTTAAATGTACACTATTTTACGAATAATTAAAATATTAAAATTTGTGTACGCTTAACTCTGAAACTACACTTATATATTTTAAGAAAATGTTGGATTCTTTTATTTCAGATGACTTTTAAGGACTCCAGGTGTAGAGCCGATTGAGCGTGCAGAACCTATTTTATATCTACAGACACATTTTATACCAAAATAAAAATGTATTTCATCAAATAGAAAAATATTTTTCAACAATTTAAAAGATGACTAAATCAATGTAAAAACATTTATTTATCTACCTGCTTTTTGAGCGTCACAAAAGATTCTAAAGAGAAGCTAAACATTTCTAACAAAAACTAAAAGGAACTATTTTTTTCAGCCGTCACAATTTATGTTTATCTCCCTTAAATGCTAGAAAGTTAAAGAAGAATTCTACAACAGTGCTTTTTGTTACGAAAGATGGGACTTTCGATAACGATCGAAATTGAAGAAAATGACATTTCAGTTCGAAATTCAATATGAATTATTTAAAGTTGGCGGAACGAATTTTTTTCTTGAATCTTGCCAATATATATATATATATATATATATATATATATATAAAGTCGAGGAGAATTTTCTTTTAAAAATATCAAGTATATACAGGGTGTTGAAAAACAATATGGCACAAATTTATGTACGTGTTCCTCAGACAATTCTAAGAACAAAAGTTCATATAAATATGTGCCCGAAACGACTTAATTTTTTTAGATAGAGGACTTCGAAAATTGAAAATTTTTTTAAATAATATAATAATAATAAATAATAATAATAAACTGTCTTAAAAACATTAAATTTTTAAAATTTGATATTCAAACAGAATTCTTTTTTTCACAAAGATAGAGTTAAAACTACCTCACGTTTTTTTTATTACCCTTATTTCTAGTTTTCATTCAAAAACTCTTTTGGCATTTTCAGAAAGAGTTTACTTAAGCACAGACATGTGCCAAATTTTATTTAATTATTCTCATTAGTTTCCAAGTTATTATCATTACAAAAAAAAATTGCAATTTTCAAAGCCCTCTATCTTAAAAACTAAGCCATTTCGGACACATGTTTATATGAACTTTTATTTTTAGAATTGTTTGTCAATATCCTGTATAACTTTCCGATGAGTGAAATATCGGATAGAGCAAAATTGGAAAAATTTTTACTCGTGTTCCTGAATTTTTAAATCGTGTTCTTCAAAAGCATTGAAAAAAGGACTTGTTACGATTATATATTTAAGAAAATAATTCGTTATATTATCTAGAAAGTAACGAGTTGTTATAATTTCTGTTATATTTTCCAGAAGTTTTGTAAACTTTCTTTTTAATACATTCAGTAATGTTGCATAGATATGAGAGACTGAATGATCTTTTACTAGAGATCAGTGTTACATATGAGCAATGGCTCATTTTTTCCATGTTCACGTTGTCAAACTAAGTTTACTTTATATAATTACGTAGAAAAAAAAATACAAAGTGGTCTATAAAGAGAGCCTTCTAAATGGTAGCGAACATGTTAATGATTTGTCCGTCGCTATACTCCACATATGCAAAGTAACTGTAAAAGTAATAAGATTATATTCGTTACCATGACATGAGAAATGTAATTCTGTACGTTATCTTGCCGTTATTATTATTAATAAAGAACAACAATTATATCACTGTTATCAAGTTGTTACTTAAGAAATATTATACCTCGGTGGAAAAAGTCTAACAATTTTTGATATAATTTCTTGGAATTTTTATAAACATTTTAAGATTTTTTAAAAAATTTTTCAGATTTTTTATACAAACTGAAACGTATTTCAGAAAAAACATAGATGGAAATTCTGAAACGAGTAAACTATTTCTCTGTATTTCTGGGATATTTCCGGTTCTACATTTCGAAGACAACTTGAAATATTTAAAATTTCAAAGTAACTAATAAAAAAAAAAATATATATATATATATACTTATAATCTAAACTTTGCTAATTTTACTTTATTTTGATAATAACACTACATTTTTATTCAATTTTCCTGAAATCTTCATGATGATTAATATATGCGCAGAAAATTCACATAATTGAAAAACAATACTTATACTGAAACATATATACACTTAAGGCATTCTGTAATACGTTGAAAATAGGAAACAAAAAATTAAATTTTTCAAATCTTTTTACAGTGGCATTTTTTTAATTATGAATGAGATTGTAAATAATTTATGGCAAAAAATTTGTTTTCATGTTCACATTGTCAAATTAAGTCTACTTTATATAATTACCTAAAAAAAAATGAAGTAGTCTATAAAGAGAGCCCTCTAAATAAACTACAGTAGCGAACATGTTAATGATTTGTCCGTCGCTATATTTTACATGTGCGAAGTAACGGTAAAAATAATAAGATTATATTCGTTACCATAACATGAGAAATGTACAGAAATATAGAGCAAAATTTTAAAAATAAAAAATTTTTAATAATTTGTCATATAGATATTCTTAAATCAACATTCTTTGTATAAACATTAACTTTGTATAAACTTAAATCAACATTCTTTGTATAAACTTTTATTTGAAATAATATGAAGAACATCTACATTTAAAAAAATTTTCCATATTGATATTTTAAGTAACAATAAAATATTTTGTATTATTTTTTCGCGAAATATTTTTTTAAAACTCTGAGAGTAAATATAAGAAAATCCGTGTGTGTGTGTATGTGTGTTGTTGTGTATGTGTGTGTTGTGTTATTTGTTAGAATCTTCCATTTATGTATATTCTAAAATTTTCTAAATACATTTTATTTTCATTGACTTTGAAAAATATTTACAAAATCTGACAAATTTTTATATTATTTCTCAGAATTTTCCATAAATGTAAAATATAAAAAATTCTGACAATTTTTTAGAGACTATGGGAGATTTTTCTAATCAGGGAAAAGATAACAATATTAAATAACAAATAACGCGTTATTTCTTAACTTTCTTTCTGCTGTAGGAACACATACTTTACGTACATATACGTCGCAGTTAAGAATTTTACGATCTGAAATTATATCTCGGACCCGATCTGTCCTGTCGATGACCTAATCGTGCGTGAAACGGTGAACGGTGTCCCGACGTGCGACGCCGGGGCGCATAAAATCCGCGCGCGTATATCGTGATTTTGAGCGATTCACGTTTTTCATGTTATCTCAAATTGCGTAGATTAATCTCCCGCGAACCATCGCCAGAAAACTGAAAGTATTCGCTTGAAAAGCCTTCCCACGATTGGATAAGATATATAAATAAATTCCAACACTGAAAATAACGGTAATTCAATAACAAACTTTTTTAGAGAAACTCGCGCCTTCTTATTTCTTGTTTCTTTCTTGTTTCTTGACGACGATTTAAATATTCAGACAATCAGATTTTGATAATTTGCCAGCAACCCTCAGCGACTCTCATTGGTGATGGATCGACATCATTAGACGATATATTCGCATTTGTTTTAATTCGCGTATAATTATACAACACTTTCTCGCGAAAAAATAATTTTTTTTTCAATTTGGGTGAATTATTATACTGTTTAGATGCAATGGCTGCGCCGAACTCTGTGCCATTCGAAATGTTTATCGCGCTAACTCGCTGCAAGACGCCCACATTGGCTAATAATATCACGGTCGGTAGTGAAATCTGCTGACTTTGAAACTTAATATTTGAATGGAAAAAGACTACAGAAATCGCGTAGCGCAAGCTACTTGTGCATGCTTTCGATGGAAACTGACACGGAATACATTACTCGGTTTTAAATTCAAAGAAAAAATTTTACGTAGTTACATTCAAAAAAATTCATTGCTTTCCTTAATTAGAAATAGTACGGCTAATCGAGATTGATTTGAATATTCACTCACGATTTCGCTAATTATCGTTCGGTAACATTTTAATACCACTACATGCTGCATCATTTAAATTCACTGACTACCGTTGTGTAAACTAATGAAGATAGAACATAATTATTTAATTGCTCCGCCCCGCAGCGTGCAATATATTTCTAACATAGTTAAAAAATTGAAATAAAAAAATAAAACTGCATTGGTATTCTTATAATAAAAAATATAGGACGCTATCGTGTTCAAGTTAAGACCAGAAGCTGAAAATGAAAAACTTTTCAAGCAATAATCGTTGCGAAAGCATTGTTCCTCGGAATATGAAAACCCGAAATATTTAACGAATGTTTCCGTCTTTGGACATATTGTATTATTTTACAAAAACATGATGAGGTCACTGCGACTTGCCGTCGCAGAGCCGTGAGAGCATTGAATCGCTTGCGCGCGGCGCTATCATAGGACGATATTCGATATATCGTCTCTTCCGTCGCATCCGAAGTATGGAAAATATGGAGAACAGTAGAGTCCTATCCTTTCTATGGATTCCCTCGGATCACTCCATTACTATAACGCGAAACTTCGAGTCATGCCTTCGGAATACTCCACCCACCTTTAAGGTGACTTGAGTGAAGGCGGGAACTTCCTCGGTTTTCGGCTTAGAGTCTCTACGGGAGTTGAGGGTCCAGGGCGCGGTGGGCATCGGCAGCGGGTTTGGACCTTCCTTGACCCATGGTGGTCGAAAGGTGGTCCTCTGCGGCGGCTGACCACCGGCGCCGGGCATTTTCCTTGTGCTTAGCGTCTCCCCTTCCCTCTTTCTCTTTCGCTACAGAGGACGAACAATCCGAACGATGGTCACACCTTCGCTTTTTTTTTTCCCCCGTATCCTTCGCCGATGTGTCGACAAAGAGTGACGTCACCTAGTTCGCCTTGCGTTCGTTTGAACCGATTCTTCGCGCCCCTGTTCTGCACGCAATTCCTTGCCGACGATTACGATCCTCCCGAGGACGTGCGCGATGCGCCACTGAGGAACTCCTGGACCGACCGCGATACGCGAAGGTGGGGCTCTCGCGTGGGCGAGATCGGGCGACCCACTTCTCTCTTTCTCAACGAAACGTCGCCAAGGATGATTATTCGGTTCGCGACTCGAACTTCCCAAGCGAGATTCCCGCGGAAAAACAATCTGGCGTCAAACTAGCGTCCGCGACGTCAACCGACCGACGCGTTTCTCGCGTCTCTCAACGAGAGGGGAGAGTATGTACCACGACGGGGTCGAAGATTTTTGCGCGAGTCCGGGAAAGATCGAGACCTGGACCGCGCAACAGGCCCGCGGACTGCACCTCCCTAACCGCATGATATTTTCGTCCATGACGTCATCGAGAGACGCAAGCTCAAAATAGAAAGACGATCCTCTTCCTCCTCTTTGTCTTCCTCTAGGATGCCTTCAACGATGCTCTTCTTCTTCCTTCTCCTCCTCCTCCTTCTCCGTCTCCCCCGCTGCCACCCGCTTTTCTCATCGTCCTACAAACTCACTCCGCGTCTGTTTACGACTCACCCGCGCCGATCGCGCCAACCGGCCGCGAAGGTCGATTGATCTTCAGGGTCGACCAATTGTACTTTGCTGATCAGAAGACAAAATAGATGAAAATCGTCTAATTTCATATGAAACAATACTTTTTTATGAAAGTATATATTTTAACTCGCAATGAAACAATCTCGTCTATTCAATTTTTACTTTCCTACTGATCCTGTAATTATAATTATATACTTTATACGTAACTCAATGAGACACGTGATATCGCGGTTACCTGTAACCGTCACGGCATTAAACGTATTAATTATTTAGTTTTCTTCAGTGAGATAATCATAGCTGAAATGTATCAAACAAGGTCTGATATTATTTTGACACTTATTAATTGCATATATTTCGTTCAACAGACCGATTCTGTTATTATGCATGGACATAACAGAGAGAAGCAATACCAACTGACAGCTCAGAAGCACAATGAGGATACTTTGAAGTTCCAACGCTTCCGTATAGCCGCACAGTATTTTGTACGTGAATGTGAAGTAGCCAAACTTTACGACTCTTGGAATACAAAGGATCTGAAAAGTGAAAAGTATCTGGAACAAAGCAAGAAGGACGAGCAGCTTCGAGCAAAGAAAGACAGGCTGCGAGAACTTCTTAACGAAGAAGAAAATACATATCGAAAAGAATTAGAGTCGAAAAATTCCGAATTAAAATGTCATGACACCGCTACCTCTCTGTTTTGCCGAAATCGCCAAGAAAAATGTATGAGATACAATATTAGTCAGAAAAATATATGGCGTGTGCAGGCATGTGTGTTCATATTACATAACATTTTTCAGGTATTATGAGAAATTAGAAGCACAGCTAGTGTTCATTTTTCCAAAATCGTTAATACCGTGGCTCAGAGAAGAAACGTTACAAAACAACAAAGGAAATCCAACAAAATCTGAACCGAATAAATTGGATGATGACGGACAGTCCAGCACTAGTCCGCATTATTGCTCCAGTATTACACAACCCATTCTGAAGCCACAATTGTATCTTATGTGGTTACCAGAAGGAACCTGTAAGATATCCTAACATAATATTTCCATTATTAGCCTATTATTACTAATAAGAGTTATTAATAATAACTATTATAATAACTAATAATATTTAATTTATCGCAGTACTAGGAACTCAGCCTCTAGATCATTCCAGTCGCCTACCTAAAAGTACCTATTTTGCATTAAATACATCTTCAGACTTGCCTCTACCTTCTGGTGAGATTGAGACCCCACCGGAATTTCTATATGTAATTGACGTACACATACTTTTCTCAAATTTATCACTGAAGGATGAAGCATATAAAACACCACACTTTGAGCCAATATATAAAAATGATTGTCCCTATAAGAAATATGAGCTGAAGCTGATGTGGTTTTACCTGAAAAGTAAAGAAACATTAGACAAATTAGAAGATTTTAAATCTCTAGAAATATCTGCACTTTTCGAGAAACAACCGATGCGCAGATTATATTGGTTATTTAAAAGGTATCAGTGGCTGTATTGGCTGGCGATATCATATTGTTATATGGGACAATTCAATACAATTACCGCTGAGACAGCAATGAGGTGCTGTTGTAAGATGTCACAAGAACTACTGGAAAGGGAAAAAGTTTACAAGTATTCTAAACTCACTGAGTAAGTACTAGATAAAAGTAAAAGTCGAGTCAATTAATTGAAGAATAAGTTTAAATTTTATTGTGTGTGTATACAGCATGTAAATTAATTTGCACCCACTATTTTGATAGCAAAACTTTTTTATAAAAACTTGAGTCTTTTTTTAATAATAAATGAAGCAACAATTAATAAGTAAAGTTCGATTAAACAGTAAACTGTCGTTTAGATAGATCTATGAGTATCTGACAGTGTGCGTGAGTGTGTTGCCGCAATGAACGCCGCCAAGACCGCCTCTGGTTGCATGGTCCTGTAATAATGTGAACAATTTCTTTTCGCAATTTATTTTTAAGATAATACTGCATGAATTGTGAATCATATATATTAGATTAATCACGCTAGTTACGTTATTTCTGATATTTTCTTTGATATGCCGCTCATTCGATTTGTTGTTCTAAGTATATCGTTTCACGCCAAATATATCTTTATCAACACTATTCCGACAATTATCCGACAATCGAGACTACTATAATTTCTGCGCATGACCGTGAATACGTTAAGAATCTAGGGCGCCGTAGCTGCTCTCATCCAAATATTTTAGAAACATTATTTCTTACGTTAGGTTAATAAGAACTATCGCATTTAAAGTTTAGGCATGATAATTTAATTCGTGAGGCATGATAATTTAATTCCATATTAATGTTTAATATGGAAGCGATGCGTGCTGAAAAATTTCCTGAATTTTAAACATCGCTATCTACCTTATAAGAAAAAATTATGTAAAAGACATATAATAAATATAATAATATATAATAAAATAAATATAATAATATATAATATAATAAATGTAATAAATAGACATATATAAATATACCTAGCATAACAAAATTCGAAAATTTTAGCTTCCTTAATTTTAATTTCTTAAGCACATATAAATATAAAATATCAATTCAAACAATTGAAAAAGAAATAAATACAATATATAAATATAAGTTATATTAGGATCGCGTCTTTTAGATATAGTTGCGTTAAAACTCTGTGAGAAAACGTTTTATGTTTTTTTTAGGGAAGAAGCAAACATATTATGTGTTGACTGGGAGAATAGTAATCGAAATCTTATGAAAAATGACTTTTATAGCCTAATATTAAATCTGACCTATAATTTGATATTTCAATGGAAATAATATTTTCCTTATTAATGGGTAAAGAAAATGTTCGTCTATAAGTTTGAAGAGTAAGTAAAAAAAATTGTAAATAATGACAATGAAAAAAATAAATTACTACTATTATTAGTAGTAATAGAAAAAAAAGAAAGGTGATGGAAAAAATAATTAATCAATTTTTTTTCTTTATGTTTTATTTTATCATTTTTTAAAATACATAGACTATTGTAATTACTATTGTAATTACAAAATACCCAGATAGAAAAATGTGTTCATTCTGAGCTCATATGCGCCTCAGAATGTAGACGTTATGGTGTCACAAAAATATCTTATTTAATAATAATAATCAACATCATGTCAAGAATTTGCAACATAATTTGTACATCATTTGTGTGCATCTGGTGCTCATGTCATGAGATCACGTAATGATCTTTAAAAAAGTATCAAATTAGAGTCATAGTATGAAGTCACATTGTGATGAAACATGATTATTACGCATTTCTATCTGGGTATTACTACAATATTATAATAATTAGCTAAACTTCAATGTATTGACTGAAATTCGAATAACAATATATTGTTTACTTTTAAAATATGGGTCAAGCCAACTCTTGAGTATCCCTTCCAAAAGATCCTTCTGATCGTTTCGTTCTAAGACCTTAGATGTTGTTCCCCTATAATCAATCTTTCCCTTGCCTAAACATCAGGAAATCTCGAGTGTTGGTTCCAGGCCTAACATCTCAAATACAGAATCAGTCTTTACAAGTCGGAATGTTTTATAAATGTTTTATAAAATAAATAATAAAAATCTCAAATTTGTGTGTGTTAAGTTTCAATAGATATATTCCTTCATATGTAATTGTAATACATATAAAAACCATAATGTAAGTAACGCAATATAAGTAATTTATTTTGATATAGTAAATCTATTTTTAAAAATATGACTCGTGTTCGAGCAATTTGTTCAAAGAATTTTTTTCTTTAAATTTTTTTTATATTAATTTTTAGTCAAGACTCGAACCGACTTAGTCGAGAGGTACAAATTAGCCGTGACTCAAACCATTAAGTATAACTGATCTTCTCACAACACCGTTAGATGGCAGCAGATAGGCTGTTAATTGTGCTTTACTTCTAAATTAACCGCTATGAGTCGCCACTGTCTCTACCGCCAATTCGTGATCGTAGTACGATTCAACAACGAGTCAAGGGACGTCTACATTGGAAGTAAGCAGTAAGAAGTAGGAAGTAAGAATAAGAAATTGACCAATCATAGTTGATTATTCTTCTCACATTCGACTGTAGTTGGTCAATTTCTTACTCTTACTTCCTACTTCTTGCTATTTACTTCCAATGTAGACGTCCCTTCAGAGAGACGTATTATGTATAAAAAAATAAGTATTTCTTATTCTTAATTATTGTACATCTTCAAAGCTCATCAGAATAGTTGAGCGATATTTTCAAATATTTCTTATTAACATTTTTCGAAAGTTCGCAAGAATTGAGTTCACATTTAGCAAATAAATGTAAAAAATCCTTCGTTAAATTTATACAGTAGATTTAATAGCATTTAGGTTAGATTGAATTTTCAAATAAATTGAAAGATAGTATAGGCATTTATTTCATTGCTTGTGTATTATATGTTTCATTATATATATATATATATATATATATATATATATATATATATATATATATATA